CGGCATAAACAGTTCGGCAGTGTAACACAATACACGCATGAGATGGAGAGCCTCTTCAACCGAATTGCCGATCTGACCGAAGGGGAAAAAATCCAAGCGTATACTGAGGGGCTAAAGATGGAAGTCCGCCGACAGGTGATTGCCGCAAACTACAACAACTACCGCGACATGGTGTGTGCAGCAGAGAGATTCGATGCGCTAATGCGATGTGAGCCCGAGACACGACGCCACGTGCCGAACAGATCATTCGACACGAAACGATCGGCACCACCCACGATCGCCGACCCGATGGATATGGACAAGATTGACGCGAAGCAGTGGCCGACAAAATATGAGAAGTGCGAATATTGCAGCGCAGCAGGACATCGACTCTTGGCGTGTTGGAAGTTTAAGAAGGTACTAGCGGAGCTGCAGGGCAACAACAGTGTGACATCCACGATGGCAAAAATGTCGAAATTAGAAGAAAGAAAGAGGATTGAACTAGCAAGAATGAGGATACAAATAGCAAACCCTAGAAGGGTTGTACTCGCTATAGAGCACCCCACTACAGGCTAGAACAATAAGATAATATTCTGACAAAAAAAAGGACACAATGGCGCGAATTTAAAACGCCACGACTGGCCGGAAACAGGGGAAATCGCCGAGACAAATGGAGGCTCCGCGAAACAAGACTCTGCACCGACCAGGAAACTCTGTGAAGAATGAGGAATGAATGAACTAGCACAAGGTTGGGTACAAGTAGGAAACCCTAGGAAACTGTACCCCATAGTGTCTACCCCACTATAGCCTACACAAGCTATATAATATGAGTTTGACACACCCCCATAGGCAAAGTGGGGGAGAACAAGAGGTCACAAGACCAGTCAAACAAAGCAAAGCAAGCTCAGGGTTGATCATTACGTCACCACACAATTCGAGCACAAGAGCAAGGCCAAAAGGCCAGTTCACATGCAAGATAATATATAAAGGCAAACAAGCAAGTGCCGGTATAGAAAGATCACAGTACAAGCAAGGTCAAGAAGTGAGCAAGTGAGGCCAAGTAGGCACAAGACCTAACATCGTACAGAAGCGCTGATGATCACAGGGCGGAAGTGCCTTGGTAAAGATATCAGCAGTGTTGGCCTGAGAGGGCACGTAAGCAAGGCGCAGCTGACCACGCTGCTGAAGCTCACGAGCAAGGAAGTTGCGAAGAGCAATGTGCTTCGTTCTATGCTCCAGTCTGTGCTCCCGACACAAGGCCAGCATGGCCTTGTTGTCTACGTACAGAACTGGAGGAGAAAGAGGTGACTCTCCTAGGTCAGTCAGCAGGTAGGTGAGCCAGCGTAGCTCTTGTGCAGCCATGGCCCCCGCGTAGATCTCAGCCTCACAGCTGGAGCTGAGAACAGAAGACGAGCGGGTAGACCGCCACGAAACAGAGCCGGAGCCAAGGCTGAAGGTGACGACCGCTGCAGAGCCTGGTCGTCAGCCCAAGAAGCGTCAGCGTGACCTGTGAGGACCACTCGACGTCTCCCTCCAAGCACTAGCCCCATGCCCGACGTACTGCACAAGTAGCGCAACACCCTCTTCGCTGCAGCCATGTGCTCCGGTCGGTGTCTGCCAGGAGCAACATAGCGTGCCAAGATGCTAAGAGGGTATGCTAGGTCAGGTCGTGTGCAGGTCATCAAGTACATGAGGCAGCCAACAAGCTCTGGGTACGGGCCACTCGACTCTACGGACTCATCCGAAGGCAGAGCTGAGAGCGAGTGGCGAGTAGACAGAGGAGTGGCCTGAGGCGAGGAGTACGTGAAGTCGAAGCGCTGAAGGACCTGCTGCACCATGTGTGACTGAGTCAGGGTAATGGTGCGCTGTGCTCTGTCCCGGGTGATCTGCAAGCCAAGGTAGTTGCGCAGTTCACCCAGGTCTGTGCACGTGTGTCTCTTCTGCAGCTCGGACTTCACGTGGGCGAGTCCAGCAGTGTCAGCAGTGGCAAAGACCAAGTCGTCGACGTACACGAGGATGTAGAACGGCGGCAAAGAGGTGTCGGTGCGCAGAAACAGCGACGGGTCGGCTGTAGAAGGAGCAAACCCAAGAGCCGCAAGCGTAGTCCTCAGTGTGTCGTGCCACTCACGCGGTGCCTAGCGGAGACCGTAGACTGGCCGCCAGAGGCTCCACTGGGTGCTAGGAGGAAAAGTCCCAGTGAAGCCAAGTGGGCGGCGCAGCCAGATCTCCTCGTGCAGGCTACCCTGCAAGAAAGCAGTGCTGAAGTCAAGAGAGTGAAGCTCGTAGTCGCGCTGAGCGGCTATGTGCAGCAGCACTCGAAGAGTGGTCATCTTCGGGGTGGGAGAGAAGGTCTGAAAGTAGTCAACTCCCTGCCGCTGACTGAAGCCACGAGCCACGTACCGCGCCTTGAAGACAGGCGGAGAACCCGGCGGCCGCTTCACCCTGAAAATCCACATGCCACTGATGATGTTCGCCTCAGGCGTAGAACCTCGTCAACGTAGGTGCCTGTGGACTTCCAGGAAGCCATCTTTGCGTCCATAGCTGCCTGCCACTGAGAGGAGTAGGGACCCTCTATCGCCTCCGCGTAAGAGCGCGGAGTCGGGATGTCAAGTGCATCCGGGTCTCCCTCAGGGGTAAGCAGTACGGACACGAGATGAGGTGAAGCAGCAGCCAAACACTGGAACTCCTCCTGCCTATCCTCAAGGACGTCCGTGCCAAGGGCACACTCACCCCCGACGGACGGAGGACAGACAGACTCAGACTCAGCGACAAGACTAGTAGCGTAGTCTAGACGACAGCGAGCAGCAAAGTCGACGAGCTCAGCAACGAGGGCAGACGCAGTAGTGGACTCAAAAGAAGGGTCAGTGACGACAGTACCAAGGAGACGCGTGACAGAAGGACTGGCAGCACGAAGAGCGTCAGACTCCAGGTCAGCAAGAGTAGGAAGAGAGGACTCTGGAGGAGACGGCAACGGGACACGCAGAGGAGCAGTGGAAGGACGCAGTGTCATCCGGTGTGTGCCTGGGACCGCAGGAGCACGCGGACGCGCAGTACGACCACTAGTGGGAGCAGCACGAATAGGCGATGCAGGACGAGACGCAGGCTCACGACGCTCAGCAAGACCTCCAATAGGACCAGTGTAGGGAGAAGGAGCAGGTAGGGGGGAGGCGGGCTGTAACTGTGCCTGCGACTGGACAGGCGGTGGACACGCTAAGGGAGAGGCAGGTTCAGTAGAAGGCGGAAGACCAAGAACCTGCTCAAGGAGCGGAACGAAGTACGGCCTCGGCCGCGAAGCACCTCCAGAACCAACTCGGACAGCACCAGTACCTCCAGCGGCAGCACCAGCGCCAGCAGCACCTCCAGCTCCAACAGCGCCAACTCCAGCACCCTCAGACACACCAGCGCCAGCAGAAACACCAGCGCCGACACCCCCAGCAGCTCCAGCTCCAGCAGCTCTAGCAGCACCAACTCCAGCAGGACCGGCAGCTCCAGGACCGGCAGCTCCAGTACCGCGAGCAGCTCCAGCAGGACCAACTCCAGCAGCCGCAGCAGCACCCCCAGTCCCAGCAGCTCCAGTACCTCCAGGACGAGCACCTCTGGGACCAGCTGCAACAGTAGTACCTCCTGCTCCAGCAGCACGGCTCCAGCGCCGGGCAAACCACTCGCGCAGCTCCTGTGGAGAGAGTGGCTCCCGCCTCGACGAAGCACCACCGGCGGCCACACGAGCAGACCCAGCGCCCCCAAGCTCCGCACCCCCAGGCTCAGCACCCCCTGACTCAGCACCCCCAGGCTCAGCACCTCGAGACTCAGCACCCCCAGGCTTAGCACCCCCAGACTCAGCACCCGCAGGCTCAGCAACTCTAACAGCACCAGAGTCAACAGCTACCTCGACAGGCTCGACTGCGTCTACCTGGGACACACCTGACGGGGCAGGACCCTGAGAGGGGAGGGGGTCTACCCGGGGAGGACCTGGCACAAGGAAGAGTTGGGACGGGGGAAGGGGCGCAGTGCGGTAGGGGAAGAGACGGTAGTAAGGTACCGACTCGTCAAAGGTGACGTCCTGGGAGGACAGAACACGGCGCGAGGTGGGGTGGTAAAACAGCCAACCATGCGCGTAAGGGGGGGAAGCTAAGGAAGATGCAGGGAACAGCACGCGGGGACAGCTTGTCCGCAGGTAAGTCGCGGACAAACGCCCGAGATCCCCAGACCCGAAACGCAGACGCATCGCCAACCTTCCCCGTCCACCGCAAGGTGGGGGAGGTCTTTGGCAAGGAGACCCGGGGCTGAAGGTTGAGCTGATGCGCAGCGTACTGAACCGCAAACGGCCACAGAAAATGGGGGGCAGCCGCATGCATCATGGACGTACGAGCGACGTCCATGACCATGCCAATGCGGCGCTCAGCAATCCCATTTTGCTGTGGAGAGGCCGGAAGCGTGAAGGTCTAGCGGATGCCTTGTGCACGACAGAAGGCTCCCAGACGGGCAGAGGAAAACTCCGCGCCTCTGTCAGAGTGCAGACGCAGAACAGGAAAGTCCGAACCGAAACTCTCTCTGAGCTGGAGACGAGCTGCGCGAATCCAGTCGATCAACACCTCAGTGACGTCACCCTTGCTGTGCAAGGGGAAGACTGTGGTCTAACGCGAGTAGTCGTCAACCACCAACAGGAAGTTACGCTCGTGCCCCTGTCCACGGACGCGGGCGGGGCCCCACCAGGGCTGTCGATATCCCTGGGGGCAGAGCTTGAGGCCCCCAGCTGCTGAAATTCTGACCCTGATTTTCAGGGAGGTGACCAAATTTTCGCCCTTAACGGTCACGGGTGCAGGCCGAAGTGTAAACTTGAAATCCGGGCTCCAATGTGTTGTGTACTTAACTAACCTAAACAACATCATAGACAGGAAAATCACATACTTCTCACTACTAACTACTCGAGTCAACATGTATGTCACAACTTCCAACTACAACTACAGTTGCACTACCTACTGCATTTCTACTCATCTCCTGACTTCGACACAACACACACACTAGATTGGATAAAAATCGAGAGAAACATCCTCCACCTGTCGCCCTATTGTGCAACTTTCATGGAGAGGGGGGGTAGGGGAGGGGGGTGTTCCGCAAGATTTTAGGGGGTGGTCTGCGGAACCGAAAGTAGAACTTAGATTCAGGGGACGGCCCAGATTGAGCACTTAACGCATCCGGGGAAGGGCCAAACGATGCCCTTAACTGGCACGGGTGCCAGTCGAATCAAACCCTTAAAATGGTTGAGCTGCGCCAAACATAACCCGGAATGTTCAGGGCATTAAGGGCAAATGCCCTTGAATCGACAGCCCTGGGCCCCACACGTCCATGTGGAGAGTCTGTAGCGGAGCCTCTGTCGGAGGAAACTCGGAGGAGTGAGGGGCGGCGCGCTGTCGCCCCTCGACGCAGGGGATGCAGGTAGGGCCAGGCCCCGGAGGTAGGGGAGGGAGAGACCGGGGGAGACCAGAGACAAGGACACGGGAGGCCATGCCTCGGAGACGAGGCAGGGAGGGGTGACCAAGGCGGTGGTGCCAAAGGAGAGTCTGGTGGGACAGGAGACGACACGAGCAGGGAGCAGACTCAGGACCAGACCTGGACGCTGCAGCAAACACCTGACTCGACGCAGCTACCTGGCCAGACTCAGCAGTCGGAGGAGACTCAGTAGTGAGGGTGTACAGGCTCGACCCTGGCCGACGAGTGAACGTGGCCAAGTGTCGGCCTGTCCGAGCACACGTACAGTGGGTCACCCGCGGACTCGCAAGAGTGAACTGGTCAACCCCCCTATCCTGTAGGTCCGCTCCACTCACCAAGTTCGTAGAGAACAAGGGGAGGTAGAGACCTGACAGGGTACCAGAGGGGGCTGCCGGGCACAGTAAGATAGTTGAGAAGCTAGCAAGGACAGGACCCCCAGAGGGGTCCGCCAGGGAGACTGCAACCGGCCGACTAAGCGGCGTAAGCGTGGTGCGGTCTCGAAAGAAGGAGCGGGACGCACCCGAGTCAAGGGTGAAGGTGTGTAAGGCCTGAGCCGACATAGTACCTGAGAGAGCAGACTCACCAGCACCTGGGGCAGCAGACGCACTAGCACCTAGGGCAGCAGGCGCACTAGCACCTAGAGCAGCAGCCTTACCATTACCTAGCGCAATGGCCTCAATCCCCGGGTCAGGCGGTACACACAGGTAACAGTCACACTCAACACTAGTAGTCACACCATACATGGCAGCAAGGATAGCATCATAGTCAAGATCAAAGATGGCAACCCCCGCCCTAGACAGATCTCCCCAGCGAGGGATCTCTGACGCCTCAGGGAACTGGTGACGCCACGCGTCCGTCAAGCGGCCGAAGCAGCGCTGGGTGGAGTGCGGGCCCCCGCACTGCTCACCAGCGCGGTCGCCGGTACGGAGGACGTAAGTGCAAAGACCAGTACCCCCACCGCGCTGACGCGCAGCGTACCACTCACGAAGCTGCTGAGGGGACAGGGTCTCATGACCGCGCTGCTGCTGCTGGCGCGGACCACCACCGGACCCACTCCTCTGCGCAGAGTCGTGACCCGCTCCACCGCCGCCGCCTCCGCCGCCTCCGCCACCTCCGCCTCCTCCGCCACCTCCGCCGCCTCCGCTCCCTCTGCCACCACCGCCGCCTCCTCCGCCTCCACTGCTGCCACCGCCGCCGTCACCCCCGCCACCACTCCCACCACCACCCCCACTCCCTCCACTGCCTCCACCACCACCTCCACCGCCTCCGCTAGCCCCTCCAGTTCCCTTGCCCCCCTTGCCCTTGCCAGTGCGGCGTCTCCCGCTAGGGGCAGACGCAGCGCCGACCCCGTAGAAACCAACGAGGTCAGCAGCAACAATAGAAGCAACAGAGGGCAAGAGGGGGGAGGGGGAACACCCCTCAAAGACGGGGGTGCGAGGGTCACCACGAGAGGCTCCTACAGCTACTATGCTCTTCTCTGCTACTAGGAGGTGCTCCTCGAGGAGGTCAACGGTGAGAGTGGTGGGGCAAACTGAAAGGAAGTGGTCCCTGAAAAAGCGAAGAGAGTCAGGGAGCCGGGTGACTATGTAGTAGAGGGTGATGTACATGGGGGGGGGGGGGGGGGGGGGGGGTTCTTGGCGCAGAACGCAGCAGGAAGCGCAACGCGGTAGCGAGTGTCACTAGTGCGGAGGTGCGTAATGAGGTCAGCGGCTGTGGGAAAGGCAGCAAGGTCAGGGAAGAGGTACGGTAGAATGAGGCGGCTCAGTGCAGCAGTGGCAGGGGAAGAGTAGCGTGCAACTACAGCGTCGTACAAGGTGTGGGCACTCTTGTACTGGCTAAAGTGCACACGCTCAGTGGTCGGTAAGTGGCGACGCACAGCAAGACGGGTAGCAGCATCGCGTGTCGCCCACTGTGAGCGAACATTGCTGTCAGCAGTAGCAGGCGGGGAAGGGGAGGCACAAGAGGTGAGGTCGAACAGAGAGAGGCCGTCTGCCCTATCGCACTGGAGGAACAGCTGGAGATCATCGACCCAGACCTCAATGTCAAAGGTAAGAACACTGGGGGTAGTCATGACTGCAAAGGTCTAGCAAGAAGTGAGCTCACCAGTACGAGTAAGGAGGGCCGGGGCGCGCCGGTAGGACTGGTAGCAGCTCGACGGCAAGGCGGCTCGGCGGCTCAGCTGCTCGGCAGCTGGGCGGCTCGGCGGTCGGGCGGCTCGGCGGTTCGGCTGCTGGGCGGCTCGGCTGCTGGGTGGGTCGGGGTCGGGCGGCTCGGCGGCTGGGCGGCTCGGCGGTCGGGCGGCTCGGCGGCTAGGCGGCTCGGCTGCTGGGCGGCTCGGCGGCTCTGCTGCTGTGCTGCTCGGTAGAGGCGGCGTCGAGGCCGCTAGGTGCAGCGACGGGGCCGCTTAGGGAGGGGAGCGGCGACGGGGCCGTGTGGTGGCGGCGACGGGGCCACTTAGAAGGCGGCGTCGGGGCCGCTTAGGGGCGGCGACGGGGCCGCTTAGGAGCGGTAGCGGGGACGCTTAGGGGCGGCGACGGGGCCGCGTAGGGTGAGAGGCAGCGACGGGGCCGCTAGGGGCGGCGACAAGGCCGTTAGGGGCGGCGACGGGGCCTCTTAGGGGCGGCGACGGGGCCGCTGAGGGTGAGAGGCGACGACGGGGCCGGTAGGGGCGGCGACGGGGCCGCTAAGGGCGGCGACGGGGCCGCGTATGGGTGGCGACGGGGTCGCGTAGGGTGAGAGGCGGCGACGGGGCCGTTAGGGGCGGTGACGGGGCCGCTAAGGGCGGCGACGGGGCCGCGGAGGGGCGGCGACGGGGCCGCGTAGGGGCGGCGACGGGGCCGCGTAGGGTGAAAGGCGGCGACGGGGCCGCTAGGGGCGGCGACGGGGCCGCTAATGGTGGCGTTGGGGCTGCGTAGGGGCGGTATTGGGGCCGTGTGAGGGGCGGCGATGAGGCCGCTAGGGGCCACTAGGGGCCTAGAGAGGGCGGCGAAAGGCGCGCCTCGGGCAGGAGCGACTGGCGCTCCGGTCAGAAAGGAAATTTTCTGTGGTGGGCCCAAGGAAGTGTTCCCACTAGGGAACCTGCTCTATACCATGTGAAGAATGAGGAATGAATGAACTAGCACAAGGTTGGGTTCAAGTAGGAAACCCTAGGAAACTGTACCCCATAGTGTCTACCCCACTATAGCCTACACAAGCTATATAATGAGTTTGACAAACTCCAGCCGAACACCCCCGAGCATAAGAATATTTCCTCTCGAGGTTTTCAAGCCTTAAAAAAGTCCAGAGGAGATTTCAAGGCCAAGAAAAAGCCTTCAGACATTATTTAGGTACCTGAAAAGTTGGGCAAACTGTGAAAGTAAGCGGTAGGATTAGGAGCCATAGCTAGGAGAGTCCTAGCTAGGCAAGAGACAGTTTAGGCAAAGAAAAGAGGGGTTTTCACTAGCAGGAATGAGGATACAAATAGCAAACCCTAGAAGGGTTGTACTCGCTATAGAGCACCCCACTACAGGCTAGAGCATAACATTCTGACACACCCCCATAGCCAAAGTGGGGTGTAATCAGCACAGTGAGAAAGCAGGTATAGAGCAGGAGTTTACACAGATAAGCAAAGCTAGAGCTAATCACAGCGGACAAGTGAGGAGGAGGAGGAGCTATGGGGGAGAGAAGATGGGAGGCGACTGCTGACGCTGCAGACACACAGACGAGCTGCTGGCTCAGTGGCTACCGGAACAGCGCTCCGGACTACTGGAGTAACTGGCCCCGCGGCTAAAAGTAGCGGCAGACGAGCAACGGACCCACGGGCGACTGGCGACTACCGGAGATTGTAGCCTCCGGACTGCTGCTGCTGCTGACGACAAGACGGCTGCCTCCACTCAACCTCCCCCAACTGCCCCACACTCTCGGCACACGCCCACTGCTCAAACCCTAGCTCCACTCCCATGCACCCCCCTTAAACCCTAAACCCAAGTCTCCCACTCATCCACCCCCCTCAGCGACAGCTGCAGCAGTGGGAGACGAAGGAGAAGGAGGAGTAAAGGGAGGAATGCACAACTGCCACCCCCATACCCGCCACCCCCACACTCCTTACCCCAAACCCTAATGGAGGGAGAAGCGTGGGAAGTAGGAGGGGCGGGTCACGAAAGGAAAGGGAGGCGGCAGGGGGTAACCAGGGCGCCACGAAGAAGCAGGGCGCCACGAAGAAGCAGGGCGCGGCCCACGAGGGCGGCTCGACGGGCAACGGGAGGGGCCGCGCGCTGGCCCCCAAGGCGCCGCGTCGAGGCGACGGTTGGGGCCGGCACGCGCGCCCCCAAAGCGCCGCGACGAGGCGACGTAAGGGGCCGGCGCGCGGGCCCCCAAAGCGCCGCGACGAGGCGACGAGAGGGGCCGGCTCGCGGGCCCCCAAAGCGCCGCGACGAGGCGACGGGAGGGGCCTGCGCACGGGCCCCAAAAGCGCCGCGACAAGGCGACGGGAGGGGCCTGCGCGCGGGCCCCCAAGGCGCCGCGACGAAGTGATGGGAGGGGGCGGCGCGCGGGCCCCTTGGGCGCCGCGACGAGGAGAAAACCGCCGCGCGCCTCGGGGCGCACGGCGGGCAGAAAACCGCCGCGCAACCCGAGCGCGCGGCGGGATGAAAAATAAGAGGTCGCGCGCCACGGGGTGCGTGACACAACGTAGGGCAGCGGAAGCAGTAGTGGGGCCCACAGGCCAGGAGCATGTGTACTCTGATTCCATGTGAAAGTAAGCAGTAGGATTAGGAGCCATAGCTAGGAGAGTCCTAGCTAGGCAAGAGACAGTTTAGGCAAAGAAGAGAGGGGTTTTCACTAGCAGGAATGAGGATACAAATAGCAAACCCTAGAAGGGTTGTACTCGCTATAGAGCACCCCACTACAGGCTAGAGCATAACATTCTTACACAAACCACTCCGGAGCGTTGAAAAGGGTCGTGCGTTCCAAGGAGTTCATTTTCTCTCCCCGCAGCACAGTGTTAAGGCTCCCCATTGCCCACAGGAGAAGCCTACACTGCTGCAAAGGCTTAAGGGAAGGTTCCAGGCCAAGACGAAGCTGAATCGACCTCGGATATATCCTTCTAACCCAACTCAGTTGAAAACTGATATGGAGTCAGCAGCTTCGAGCGCAGGACCGAGGGATGATCTATTTGACGTACCCTACGATCCTATAAGCGAGACCATCTACGGTTACCCGGAGCGGCAACAACCACTATTACTCGAGGTGATCTGCAACGGGCGACGCCTCAAGGCACTGGTGGACAGCGGTGTGTCTCACTTAGTGTGCGACCGCGGGACGTTGGAGAAAATTGGAGAATCTTCAGAGGAGGCCATGTTCACGGCAACGATGGTGGACGGTACGAAACTCCCCATCCACGGCGAAGCATCACTGCAGCTGCACATAGGGGCGCTGAGGTGGAAGCCGACATTGCCGATCACGAACATCAAAGGTTTAGATTTCATCTTGGGGCGAGATTTCCTGAAGCGGTTCAACCCCGAGATCGACTGGATCAACAGGAAGGCGTGCATCTACAACAACGGGAAACAAGTGGAGCTGCGAAGCTGGACGGATACACGGAGCGTTCCTGAAACGACACTGGCACGGTTCGAACGGACGATGAACGAGAGTAACACGGGCTACTTAGCACTGGTTATGGCAGCAGCAGAGGAGGAGAAGCCGAACACGGAGCTACCTGCAGCAGTGAAGGAGGTCTTGGAGCAGTAAAAGGATATAATGCCCGACGACCTACCTGCAGGCGTACCTCCAGCACGCACCCACGAGATTGTGCGAAACCCATGTCACGTCCACCATACCAACTGAGTCCCACCGAACTGACAGAGATGAAGAAACAGATAGAGTATCTACTGGACAGACAACTGATCCGCCCATCCACCTCTCCCTATGGTGCACCAGTCCTCTTCACTCCAAAACCATATGGCAGTTTACGGATGTGCATCGACTACCGCGCACTGAACAAACAGACAGTTAAAAACAAATACCCCATACCGCGCATCGTCGACTTACTGGACCAAATGCGTGGTGCAACAGTCTTTTCGAAGCTGGACCTACGGTCATGTTACTGGCAGATCAAGATGGCGGACAACTCGATCCACAAGACGGCGTTCCGTACCAGATACGGCTCCTACGAATACTTGGTGATGCCGTTCGGACTCTGCAACGCACCAGCAACGTTTCAGGCGGAGATGAATCACATCTTACAGCCCCTGTTGGATGAATGCGTGGTGGTGTACCTGGACGACATTCTCATCTACTCCAAGAACATGAAGGAGCACGAAGAGCATCTACGGAAGGTGTTCGAGATCCTGCGGAAGAACAAGTTCTACGTGAAGCTGTCGAAGAGCGACTTCGCCCTGAAGAAGGTGCGGTTTCTCAGGCACATGGTGAGTGCCGAGGGCGTATACGTGGACCCGCGGAAGATCGAAGCCGCTAAGAAATGGAAAGTACCGGAGAACGTGAAGGAGTTGCAACAGTTTCTAGGCTTTGCCAACTACTACAACAGGTTCGTGCCGCAGTATGCAAAGATAGCAGCGCCACTGACCGACCTACTGAAAAAGGATACGCCCTACAAACGGGATTCTCCTCATCAGCAAGCCATGGAGCAGCTACAGACAACACTGACTAAAGCACCAGTACTCATCCTACGAGATCCAGACAAGAACTACGTGGTGGAAGCAGACGCTAGTGACCAAGCAGTCCGAGCAGTACTGATGCAGGATCACGGACGCGATTTGCAGCCCATTGCCTACCTCAGTAAGAAGCTACACGGAGCAGAACTGAACTACCCCATCCATGACAAGGAAGCCTTAGCGATAGTCATAGCCTTCAAGGCGTAGAGGTGTTACCTAGAGGGAGCCAAGACTACATTCTATACTGACCACTACAGTCTCAAATACCTGAAGTCGCAGCCGACACTCTCCCGACGACAGGTGCGGTGGGTGGACTTCCTGGAAACTCACTTCCACTACGACATCGTCTACAATCCCGGGCTACACAACAAGGCAGACGCGTTGAGCCGCTCCGGACATGTAGCAGGCATCCAGCTCGACG